CTAAAATTGAGCACATGTACTGTATAGTGTATATGTACCAGGAGAAGAAATATAGATGGAAGACTGTAGAGAACACATGTATGTATAGTGTATACGTACAAGGAGAAGAATTCAAGATGTAAAATACTGAAGTTAAAGGTAAAATTAAAATTTGATTTCTTATTTCTAGAATTGAAAAATATTTTATAACTAAAATGTATGATTCATGATTTCACAGTTTTAATCTAAAAAATTAGATGAGAAGTAAAAATGAAATAAAAGAAAAGGCTTTCTACCCTACCCCTCCCCCCTAGGATATCTTATGTTTCTGAATTGGTTAAGCTTACTCTTTATATGTTTTTAACTTTTTATTTTTTTTAAAGATTTAATTTTTAACAATATGTATAGAATAAAATAGATGATGGTCGAAGCAATTAAACAGAGTGCTTACACGTCTGCACCACCCTGTCACAGTTCTTGTTTACATCATTTTCTCCATTTCACTTCTTGTTCTCCAATTTTCTTCCTTGTGATGCAACTTCCATCATGTTCTTGGTTAAATTTTGAAAGAAAAGTTTTGTAGGATGTCTCTGTAATCAATATTATCAGTTAATAGAATTTTGTTTGGACATCCTTTAATTTCCTAGATTTGCTTGTTTTAGGTTTCACACATAATTTTTCATTTGAATTTAGTAAAATTTATAGGTCTTAGGATAGTTTCTTGTGGAACTCCTGATTCAACATGATGCATGACATGATACATCATAATCTGTTAAACTATTGATTCCTGATATAATTTCAGAGAGGATGGCAGGAAATATTTAGGAAAACATATTGGAGGAAGAGTTTAAACTAAAAGAGGAAAATGTGTCTGTCAAGGAGGAAGTACCCTTCCCTTCTACTGTAGAGGATACATGTACTGTATATATAAAGGAATAAGTCAAAACTGAAAATACTGAGATTTAAGGTAATATTTAATAATGTTTCATATTTTTATATAAAAAGATTCTCTGTTTTAAATAATTAGATAATTAATTACATTCCTTATAATTATTTTTAAAAGACCAAAAGCAAATGGATCTTCACATTCAGAGAAAACTGGTTTTAAGAACCATCTCTCGAGACTTTAATTCATTTAAAATGAAAATCTAGAATTATAATCAAGATATACTATGATGTTTAGTTCAGAAGGTTTCATTTTAATTTTATGATGGTAACATCTTTTTAAAAATTCTAGAAGAAGATGAACCACATCATCTTTTTAACAAAGGAAACTGATTTTCTTTTATGTTTATTTAACACAATTTAAACAAAACTTGAATTGTAAAAAGTACAGATAACGGCATTATTTGCATTTTTCCTCTCCCAAATAAACAGACTCTACCTGGGAAGTACAGATGTCTGCAGAAAAGAAGAAGAAGTAAGTTGTAGGAAATCGGGTAGAAGGAAGTAGGCTAGAGAGAGCTAAAGGGTTCAGAGCAGCTGGTCAGTAAGTCTAGCAGTGCCATTGGTTGTTTGACTAGTGAATTTTTGGTACAGAGTTGGACAGGAGACCAACCTGAAACCAGCCCTGCTATGGCTGCTCTCCTTCCGTTGAGAATCAATAAAAATCATATGTTTAGTTTTATTGCTCAATCTGTCTTTTTCAACGGAAAAATAAATTATTAGATTGGATTAGATTAGTAGAGCTATAGGTTTTAGAGAGTATAAGTAAATAATAGGTAGGTTGACCAGGAAGTAAAGAGTTAGAGGTTAAAAGGGTAGAGAAATAGTCTAGAGTAAAAACCCCTGGGGGGGAAACCTAACCTAAACCAAAGGAAGCCATGGAAGAGAGGGTAGGAGGGTTAAAAAGTAAAAAGGAAGGAGCCAGGGATTAGTTGTCTAGCTGGTTACAAGAAGGATAGTGATATAGAGCCAGAAAGGTGTCATACAAGTGAGAAGTAAAGTAGGAAAGTGTTTCGGCAAAAGTCAGCAGTACTGTACATCCCTCGTTGTCGTCTTCTTCACGGTATTAAACCACCATCAAGAAATAAATAGAAACATACACAAATAAGTCAAATGGTTTTTAATGTTTGAAATTCTAAACTCGTTGGAAGCAGAGAAGGTAAAGAAAAAATGGTAAACTTGGTTGATTTAATTTATAATAAACATTTAAAGCCCCCCCCTACCTCATACCAATCCTCATATTTAATTTGATTTAAGATAAGATTGTGTTAGACCCTCAATGTGGAATTCCCAGACCGCCATCGAACTTTAAGGTCCAGTAAAAAGTTTTTAATTCTCTTTTTTGTTGATCTTGCCCTTTTTTTCGATACGTTTCATCATTTTTGGGTCCTTTTCCGGTTTTCAGAAAAGTTGTAAATTCTCCGTTTGTTGATCGTTTCTTCATGTTTAAGGTCAGTTTTTTAATAACTTTTAATTTCTCAGTTTCCACATGTTATCTTTCTTATTTAAAGATTTACAATAGTTTAAAACCAAAAAAACACATATATTTTGTCAAAAAACAAATAAAAACTAAGTAAAGATATGCAAATCAATTCATTTATGTATATTTTCTATAGTAACAACTCATTGGTCTGTGTATCTTTTAGATCCGAAACTATCAGTTCTTTTTACTTAAGAATTCTCAAAAGAAATACAATTTTTGAATATGTAATGTAATTATTCCATAAGGTAACAAATCATGAAAGTATTAATTGGTTTAATTTCATTCAATCGACCCAAAAACTTTTTAAGGATTTTTTTCAGAAAGAATGGCCGGAAATATGTATGACAAAGGAAGAAATGAAAGTAAAGAATATTGAGATTAAAGAAGAGATTCTTCCCTCCTCTACTGTTGAATTGTAAATATTGAATAATAGTAAAAAACAGGAAAGTTTTAAAAAATTTAATGTCGTTTCAGTAATAAATTGTTTCTGAGAAAATGGCGGGAATCATGAAAAGGGAAGATTAACGGACATATTTTACTCACAATTTCCCTATCGGGCCATACAGGTCCCACACTAACATAACCTGGTGTAGATAAGATTTTTAAACATTGTTTAGGAATAAATATTTGCATTAGCGCAGTAAACTTTTCTAACCTGTAATTTGTTTTCTTCTGCTGAATTCGATTAATAATCTTAACTGATATTTTGATCATGTTCTCGTTTTATAAATTACTATTCCAGATAAAATGGCAGAGACAATTATAGAAGGAATCAACCTTGAGGAGTTTGAGATGAAAGAAGAGACAGTTTTCAAAGAAGAAATTCTTCCCTCCTCCATTGTAGAGGACACGTGTTCGGTTTATACACAGAGAGAGGAAATAAAGAATGAAGAATGTGAGGTGGTCGAGGAGATGGGTTCTACTGTAGAGGATACATGTACTTTATATGTACAGGATACATGTACTGTATATGTAGAGGATACATGTTCTGTATATGTACAGGATACATGTTCTGTATATGTACAGGGAGGTGTCAAGATGGAAAATGCTGGAAATCAAGGTAATAATTCAATATTTATTTTTTTTAATATTTTTAGATACTACATTGTAGAGGAATTAATTTCTCCTTAAATCCAAACTAGGAATTCTTGAAATGATAAAAAAGAATTTCTCCTAGAGAAATCTAGAAGTTCTACAACCTGTATCGGATCAACAAATCCTCCTGCATAGTAGTTTATTACGTGCAAATATACAGCTAATAAATGTTAGATCTTTCCTCTGAAACGTAAAACTAAATATCTAAAATATATGATTCAGGTGAAATAGTTCTCAATGAAGTGGATCCTCTGCTGGTTGGATCAAATTTAACAAAGGAGAGAAAACTAGAAGGAGTGAGATATCCATGTGATAAATGTGAATTTTCTTCATCCAGCCGAAGTTATCTCAGAGAACATATCAAGAATAAACATGAACTAGTGAGATATCCTTGTGATAAATGTGAGTATTCTGCTACACAACGCAGTCATATCAGAAAACATATTTTGAATAAGCATGAAGGAGTGAGATATTCTTGTGACAAATGTGAGTACACTGCTACTTCACCAACATATCTTAAAACGCATATACAGAGCACACATGAAGGAGTGAGATATCCATGTGATAAATGTGAGTACACTGCTACTACAGCGAGTAATCTTAAAAAACATATCGAGAGAAAACATGAAGGAGTGATATATCCTTGTGACAAATGTGAGTACGCTGCATTTATAGCAAGTAATCTCAGAGCACATATTAGGAGAAAACATGAAGGAATAAGATATCCATGTAATAAATGTGAGTTTTCTGCATCCAGCCGAGATCATCTCAGAGAACATGTTAAGAATAAGCATGAAGGAGTAAGATATCCTTGTGACAAATGTGAGCACACTGCTACTACTGCTGGTAATCTTAAAATGCATATAAAGAGCACACATGAAGGAGTAAGATATCCTTGTGATAAATGTAAGTACAGTGCTACTAGAGCATCTAATCTCATAGCACATATTAAGAGAAAACATGAAGGAATAAGATATCCATGTGATAAATGTGAGTTTTCTGCATCCAGCCGAGGTCATCTCAGAGAACATTTAAAGAATAAGCATGAAGGAGTGAGATATCCTTGTGACAAATGTGAGCACACTGCTACTTCACCAAGATATCTTAAAACGCATATACAGAGTATACATGAAGGAGTAAGATATCCATGTGATAAATGTGAGCACACTGCTTCTACTCCTGGTAATCTTAAAAAACATATCGACAGCAAACATAAANGTTTCACACATAATTTTTCATTTGAATTTAGTAAAATTTATAGGTCTTAGGATAGTTTCTTGTGGAACTCCTGATTCAACATGATGCATGATGGACTTTACATGATACATCATAATCTGTTAAACTATTGATTCCTGATATAATTTCAGAGAGGATGGCAGGAAATATGAAGGAAAACATATTGGAGGAAGAGTTTAAACTAAAAGAGGAAAATGTTTCTGTCAAGGAGGAAGTACCCTTCCCTTCTACTGTAGAGGATACATGTACTGTTTATATAAAGGAATAAGTCAAAACTGAAAATACTGAGATTTAAGGTAATATTTAATAATGTTTCATATTTTTATATAAAAAGATTCTCTGTTTTAAATAATTAGATAATGAATTACATTCCTTATAATTATTTTAAAGACCAAAAACAAATTAATCTTCACATTCAGAGAAAACTGGTTTTAAGAACCATCTCTCGAGACTTTAATTCATTTAAAATGAAAATCTAGAATAATAATCAAGATATACTATAATGTTTATTCAGAAGGTTTCATTTTAATTTTATGATGATAACATTTTTTTTTAATAAGAAGATGATGAACCACATCATCTTTTTAACAAAGGAAACTGATTTTCTTTTATGTTTATTTAACACAATTTAAACAAAACTTGAATGTAAAAAGTACAAATAACGGCATTATTTGCATTTTTCCTCTCCCAAATAAACAGACTCTACCTGGGAAGTACAGATGTGTGCAGAAAAGAAGAAGGAGGAAGTTGTAGGAAATAGGGTAGAATGAAGTAGGCTAGAGAGAGCTATAGGGTGCAAAGAAGCTGGTCAGTAGGTCTAGCAGCGCCATAGGTTGTTTGACTAGTGAATTTTTGGTACAGAGTTGGACAGTAGAGCTATAGGTTTTAGAAAGTATAAGTAGATAATAGGTAGGTTGACCAGGAAGTAAAGAGTTAGAGGTTAAAAGGGTAGAGAAATAGTCTAGAGTAAAAACCCCTGGGGGGAAACCTAACCTAAACCAAAGGAAGCCATGGAAGAGAGGGTAGGAGGGTTAAAAAGTAAAAAGGAAGGAGCAAGGGATTAGTTGTCTAGCTGGTTACAAGAAGGATAGTGATATAGAGCCAGAAAGGTGTCATACATGTGAGAAGTGAAGTAGGAAAGTGTTTCGGCAAAAGTCAGCAGTACTGTACATCCCTCGTTGTCGTCTTCTTCACGGTATTAAACCACCATCAAGAAATAAATAGAAACATACACAAATAAGTCAAATGGTTTTTAATGTTTGAAATTCTAAACTCGTTGGAAGCAGAGAAGGTAAAGAAAAAATGGTAAACTTGGTTGAATTAATTTATAATAAACATTTAAAGCCCCCCCCTACCTCATACCAATCCTCATATTTAATTTGATTTAAGATAAGATTGTGTTAGACCCTCAATGTGGAATTCCCAGACCGCCATCGAACTTTAAGGTCCAGTGCCCAACCCCCGTTCATTCCAGCACCCTAATGTCCTTCCCCCCAATACCGGGGAAATTCAATCATAGTACAATTCTGCCGGATGCTGGCAAGTCACTCAACCTGGTGGCGATTGTGAACCCTCCAATCAAAGGAGGTGTTAAGCAGTAGCTATGTGGATGTTAGATCGCTGCTATTACTGTCCACCTTCTTAACTCCTTCACTCCAGCATTACATCCTCTTAAGTACCTTTCCAGTACAATTTTCGCTTTGGGGATTTTTTTTAAGATCTGGAATACTGCTCTGGACTGCGCTCATTATCTAAGGATTCAACATTCCAGTATCAAGATTTCCGGACTATCATATTCATGATCCTATAATTTAAACCACTTTCTTGGTTTAGGCTCAGGCATGCATGTGATGTAAGTCTCTCTTTAAGGTGAGAACTTTGGTCACAGCCACATCCTGTAAGTTGCTCTTGATGGCATCCCTCTGTTATTTTATGGGCTTCTACTTTTATAGCCCATTGATCAAGTGAAAACATCATCACTGTATCAAACACATCTTTGAGGATTTGAAGATTAATTATTGAATATGATCCCATTTACTTCTGAATTTTTGTAATTATTTTATTTCAAAGAGAATGGCCTGATAGAAGGAATAAAGATGGAGAATACTGAGATTAAAGAAGAGATTGTGGAAGAAATCCTTCCATCCTCTACTGTAGAAAATACATGTAGCGTTTATATAAAGGAAGAAGATGTTAAAGTTGAAATAACTGAAACGCAAGGTAAAATTAACAAGAATATCTTTTTATTGCTTTCTTCAATGTAAGTTGAACGGAGGGAAAGATATTATTTCAAGGGAAACATTAATTAATACTGGAATTAAAGGAAATGCTGAAACTTAAATTCTTCTATTTTCTTATATTTTCAATAATGAATAATGCAATGTAAATAAAATGTATATTCCAGTTCTCGATGAAGAGAAATCTCCGCTTTTTGGATCAAAGATTAACAAGAAGAGGAAACTAGAGGGAGTGAGATATCCTTGTAATAAATGTGAATATTCTGCAACTAAACGAAATCATCTCACAGAACATATTAAAAATAAACATGATGGAGTGAGATATCCCTGTGATAAATGTGAGTACGCTGCTACTAGAGCAACTAATCTCAGAATTCATATTAAGAGTAAACATGAAGGAGTGAGATATCCATGTGATAAATGTGAGTTCGCTGGAACTACTGCAAACATTCTAAAAACACATATTGAGAATAAACACGAAGGAGTGAGATACCCTTGTGATAGATGTGAGTACGCTGGTACTACAGCACAATTTCTAAAAGCTCATAAGGAGAGCAAACACGAAGGAGTGAAATATCCCTGTGATGTTTGTGAGTTCGCTGCAGCAGCAAAAAAGAGTTTAAAGAGACATATTAAGATAAAACATAAATCAAGCATTGAGAAAACCTTGTGGTGAATGAGAACGTGCTGCAACTAGAGTAGGTGATCTACATAAGCTTATTACAACTAAACATGAAGGACAGAGATATCTCTGTGACAAATGTTAGTACACAACTTCTAAAGCTGGTTATCATAAACTACGGTGCTATGGAAACGCCTCAACACGGAATCGGACCTAAAAAACGGAAACCTCCCCAAAAGGATTTTTTTTGAGGGGTTTCCGTTTTTTTAAATTATCGGAAATCCCAAAAATCTAAGTTTTAGAGGAATTTCCCGTTTTCTTTGCTCCGTTTCCCCGGTTTTTAAGGTCGGATTCTGGTCTTATATTTTTGAGGGATTTCCCAATATTTTCGATCCGTTTCCTCATTTTTTGGGTCTGTTTTCTCTTTTTTCAGGTCCGTTTCTGGGTTTAAAAAAAGCTTTTAAATTTTCTGTTTGTTGATCGGTTTCCTCTTTTTTTTGGGTCCGTTTCCTCTTTTTTTTAGATCCGTTTCCGGTTTTCAATAAAAGTTTTTAATTCTCTTTTTTGTTGATCTTGCCCTTTTTTTCGATACGTTTCATCATTTTTGGGTCCTTTTCCGGTTTTCAGAAAAGTTGTAAATTCTCAGTTTGTTGATCGTTTCCTTTTTTGACCCGTTTCTTCATGTTTAAGGACAGTTTTTAATAACTTTTAATTTCTCAGTTTCCACATGTTATCTTTCTTATTTAAAGATTTATAATCGTTTAAAACCAAAAAAAACATATATTTTGTCAAAAAACAAATAAAAACTAAGTAAAGATATGCAAATCAATTCATTTATGTATATTTTCTATAGTAACAACTCATTGGTCTGTGCATCTTTTAGATCCGAAACTATCAATTCTTTTTACTTAAGAATTCTCAATAGAAATACAATTTTTGAATATGTAATGTAATTATTCCATAAGGTAACAAATCATGAAAGTATTAATTGGTTTAATTTCATTCAATCGACCCAAAAACTTTTTAAGGATTATTTTCAGAAAGAATGGCCGGAAATATGACAAAGGAAGTAATGAAAGTAAAGAATATTGAGATTACTTACTTGGAATACTTGATGTGTTATCCCCAGGACTCCAGGTAGGAGCATAACGGGAATTTCAGTTAGGTCCTCTCGGAGAAGTGATCAAGTCCTCTAGATTTACGTCCTCCTTTTGTAACCTCTTCCACACTAATCCTGGCATAGTAATTCAAGGTGTTAAAGATGGGCGTCGAGTAGAGATTTAAAGATATTTAGAGATTTTGCATCCTTGATTTCAGTAGGTAAATTGTTCCAAAGGTTTACCACCCGGTTTGAGTAGAAGTTGTGTGGAAGATCTGTCCTAGAATGCTTTGGTACCAAGTTATCCTTGTAAGATGTCATTCTTCTCTGTCTTGCAACATCTGAGCCGACCAAGGTAAACCAAGTCCCCTTCTCTACTTTATCATAACCTCTGAGTATTTTAAATGTCTGAATAAGATCAAATCTAACTCTCCTTTGTTCCAGTGACTGGATACCAAGTTCCTCTGCAGGATCTCCTTCATCAAGTATGGTAGTTATTTTTTCAAGGAATTCCAGCAAGTTAGTGGTACAGGACTTGCTTTTCATGAAGCCATGCTGAGAGGAGTTTATATGAAGATTCCTGGTCAAGTGAGAGTTAACTCGGTCTCGAATAATGGACTCCATTAATTTACAAGAGATGGAAGTAAGAGAAATTGGTCTGTAGTTTTCTGGTTTATTTTTAGAGCCTTTTTTGTAAATTGGAGTAACATTGGCTAATTTCCAGTCTCCTGGAACCTCTCTCGTACTCATAGATTTATTGAAAATGATGGACAGGGGTAGTGACAAGTGATCAACATTGTCCTTTAGTATTCTAGCTGGAATATTGTCAGGTCCCTGGGCTGTACCTGGTTTAAGTTTTAATATTTTCTCTTTAACTTCGATTTGTTCAAAAAATATATCCCTGATGAAGCTGTTAGAAAGTGGGGGGCAATTTGGGATATTGTTGGTGTCCTCTTTAGTAAAAACACTACAAAAAGATTTGTTTAAAACTGTAGCCATCTGTTTGTAGTCACTTATAATTTTGTTGTCAACTTTAAGAGGTCCAACTCCAGTTCGGTTTTTTGTTCTACTGGTAATATAAGAGTTAGTTCTACTGGTAATATAAGAGTTAAAAGGCCTTTTATTTCCATTCGTTGCAATCAGCTGTTCAAATCTTCTTTTGGCCCCTCGTACTGCTTTTTTACATTCCTTTTAAGCTTTAATAAAATTATTTTCAATCTCCGGTGTTCTGGTCTGCATATACAAATTGTATTGTCTTTGTTTGGTCCTGATTAATCTCATAACTTTTTTGGTCATCCATTTTGGTTTGTTAGCTTGACGTCTTTGGATTTTAGGAATGAAAAGGTCCATACCTGCATGTATTTTACCCTTCATATAGTTCCACGACTCTTCAGTTGATTTCTGGCTTAAATCCTCGCTCCATTTTACATTTTCAAGATGCTCTGACAGCGCCTCTAAATCTCCATTTTTCCAGTCACAGACGAGTTCATTTGTTTTACAGAATTTAGATTTAAAAAGCACCTCAGTTAAAATAATGGAATGGTCGCTGTTTCCTAAATTACCAAGTTGTTCAATGTTGACAATATTTTCTGGATTTTTAGTGAGCACAAGATCTAATAAATTGCCTCGTATATGAGTTTTAAATTCAACCATCTGGTTGTATTCACATTCTATAGTTCGCTGGAGGAAATTACCACTTTTTTGTTCAGATGTTTGAAATTTCCAATCAATGTTTGGGAAATTAAAATCCCCAATAATTATAGAATTTGTATCTGTGGATTCTAGTAATTTACATAGTTCTTCAGTGTTTTCATCGTTAGAGCTTGGGGGTCTATAAACTAGTGTTATATTAAGATTTACATTGTCTTCACTTGTCACTTCAAATTGAAGAAATTGATTAAAATTATTGGCGACATTTCTGGGATTAATTAAAAGTCCATCTTTGAAATAAACCAGTAGGCCCCCTCCAATACCATTCAGAGTATCTTCACGATCTTGTCTCAGCTCCGGGTCTATGTTATACCCATTAATGTTCAAAACCGCCATATTAGTTTCTTTATTACACCATGTTTCTGTTATTAATACAATATCTGGACAATGTTCTAATAATAAGATTTCTAAGTCATTCATTTTATTAAAAATGCTTCTTGCATTCAGGTATATAATCTTTAAAACTTCGCTGGTTTCTTCTTTGTTTGGCTTTGGTTTGGAGACTCTTGGAATCTTGTCGGGCTCTCTTCTTGGCCTCCTTGGCTGAGGTTCCCCCCTGACTTCCGAGTCCCTTCCCTCCATTGATTCCTCCTGTACTTCTTCCTCCTCCTCCTCCTCGTCCGTTGGGAGGTCTGCCAGACTCATGGCCATACCTGGAGTCTTGACAACCTCTATTATATCCTCNCTCCCCCCTCCTCCAATGGGATCATAAATGATGGAGTAGTTGGTTCTGGTGGAACAATCAATGTTGATGGTACCTCCATCCGTTGTTGTTGTTGCTGTTGCTGTTGAATTGTAAGATCTAGTTCCCTGTTTCTGCTCCTCAACTGTGTTGTTGAGATTTGACGCTCCTGAGAGCTCCCCTGAGCCTCTCTCATAGGCTGAGAAACTGTAGGTCGTAGAATTGGAGCAGAATTTGCTCCAGTTAGTGGATTCTGGCCTCTGTGGTTCCTGATAGGACCTCTTTGACCTCCTTTCCTTGGATCCTGGCTCTCTCCTTGAAAAACTCGACGTTTTATCATCCTCCTGTCTCCCCTCATCCCGATGAGCACCCACTCCCAGTTTGTTGCTTCCGTTGTATCCATTTCTCGGTTTCTCTGTTCTGCACATTTTCTCAGTTTATCCTCCTCCTTCCTCTGTTCCTGTGTAAGGTCCGGGATGATGCTTATGGAGCTGTAGGTTGAGTTGGCAAGCTTTCTTGTGTACTCCAAGATATATGTTCTCAGATTAGGGTCAGTGAGGCAAAAAATTACTGGTCTCGGCCTTCCTGAGGTTTGTTTTTCTCCTGGTCTGTAAATAATCTTGAACCCGTCCTTGTTGATTGGAGCTCCTAGAAATTTAAAGAGGTCTATGACATAGTTGATGTCGTATTCTTTACATTGCCATCCACTTGCAAGGTTAGAGGGGGGCTCTGGTATCTGATGGATTACTAGGTTATTCCTCCTAGCTCTTTGCTCTCGTAACTCCTCCATTACAGCTTCTTTACTGCTTTGAACAATATCCTCCTTATTCACTTTATCAATTTTATTCTCCATAATCTCGATTCTTCTATCATGGTTTAGAATATTTCCTGCGTTAGCGTCAATGCTGGCTTTCATCTCAGCCTGTTTCAGTTGAATGTGGTTTATCTCTTGTTTGATCTTCTTTGAGACTCCCATACATGGGTTGCACTTCCAGGATGCATTTTCCATCTCTTCTAAACATTTTAGATGACCTGCAGAGATATTGCAGCATTTTGCATGCCCCCATCTCTCACAAAACTCACACCAAACTCCACCAGTTTTTTTAGTGACATTAGATTCACAAACTAAGCATGGATAAGTAGTTTTTTTAGCTCCTTTAGGTGGCATTTTGAGTTAAAAGAAGCACAGTCAGGGCAAAAATAAATTCTCAGCGTAAGAATTTATTGAATTTCCGCTACTCTCGTTGCAGATTTTATCTGCTGACTTTCACTGAAAACTCCCTTTCAAGACTGACAGTTAAATACATAAATACAGATTAAATTACTAGTTTTGCACTTTTTTTATTATTTTTTTTTTCTCTTTTCTTTTGTACTCTTTTTTTTGTACTTTTGTTTTTTGTACTATTGTTTTTTTTTGTACTATTGTTTTTTTTGTACTATTTTTTTCTCTTTCTTTTTTTTCTTTTTTTGTTTTTTTATTTTTGTGCTTTCTAAAACTTTATTTTATTGTGTTTATTTTCTTCTTTTTTTTCCTTTTTTTTCTTTTCTTTTTCTTTTAGGTCACTTCATTTGGAATCAGCTTACAAGTATCCGTAGATAAGTTTAAGCTAATTCCCTTATATGAAACAATTAAAAGACTTAGTAAAAAGTCTTTGCCGCTACTTTATCCGGGAATAAAGCAGGGCTAGTACTATGGATAGATATTTTGTTTTTAATTACTCGTTCTCTGGACTTAAAGGATGTACCTAGGGAGCTTTAAATGAAGGGAAGTAAGTCGGATTTTCTTAAAAAAAGTTTTAGAAAGAAAACTAATATTTCTGGTACATCCTTATCCTATTGTGGAACACAAACTCCGATACAAGTCTGTGTAATTTCCAGCACTGGTTATCCACCGGTTATCCACATCTCCTAGTCCGCTGTCTCCAAAATCTTTATTCATTCACTTTATTCATACATTATTCAGACATTTCTCTTTAAGAAGTGAATCAAGCGTTAAATTAGCTTGGTCGTTTTAGACTAAAGAAGAGATTCTTCCCTCCTCTACTGTTGAATTGTAAATATTGAATAATAGTAAAAAACGGGAAAGTTTTAAACATTTAATGTCGTTTCAGTAATAAATTGTTTCTGAGAAAATGGCGGGAATCATGAAAAGGGAAGATTAACGGACATATTTTACTCACAATTTCCCTAACGGGCCATACAGGTCCCACACTAACATAACCTGGTGTAGATAAGATTTTTAAACATTGTTAAGGAATAAATATTTGCATTAGCACAGTAAACTTTTCTAACCTGTAATTTGTTTTCTTCTGCTGAATTCGATTAATAATCTTAACTGATATTTTGATCATGTTCTCGTTTTATAAATTACTATTCCAGATAGAATGGCAGAGACAATTATAGAAGGAATCAACCTTGAGGAGTTTGAGATGAAAGAAGAGACAGTTTTCAAAGAAGAAATTCTTCCCTCATCCATTGTAGAGTACACGTGTTCAGTTTATACACAGAGAGAGGAAATAAAGAATGAAGAATGTGAGGTGAACGAGGAGATGGGTTCTACTGTAGAGGATACATGTACTGTATATGTACAGGATACATGTACTGTATATGTAGAGGATACATGTTCTGTATATGTACAGGATACATGTTCTGTATATGTACAGGGAGGTGTCAAGATGGAAAATGCTGGAAATCAAGGTAATAATTCAATAATTATTTTTAAAAATATTTTTAGATACTACATTGTAGAGGAATTAATTTCTCCTTAAATCCAAACTAGGAATCCTTGAAATGATAAAAAAGAATTTCTCCTAGAGAAATCTAGAAGTTCTACAACCTGCATCTGATCAATATATCCTCCTGCATAGTAGTTTATTACGTGCAAATATACAGCTAATAAATGTTAGATCTTACCTCTGAAACGTAAAACTAAATATCTAAAAAAATGTATGATTCAGGTGAAATAGTTCTTAATGAAGAGGATCCTCTGCTGGTTGGATCAAATTTAACAAAGGAGAGAAAACTAGAAGGAGTGAGATATCCATGTGATAATTATGAATTTTCTTCATCCAGCCGAAGTTATCTCAGAGAACAAATCAAGAATAAACATGATCTAGTGAGATATCCTTGTGATAAATGTGAGTACACTGCAACTAGAACAGATACTCTAAGAGAACATGTAAAGAATAAGCATGAAGGAGTGAGATATCCATGTGATAAATGTGAATTTTCTGCATTCAGCCGAAGACATCTCAGAGTACATATCAAGAATAAACATGAACGAGTGAGATGTCCTTGTGATAAATGTGAGTATTCTGCTACACAACGCAGTCATCTTAGAAAATATATTTTGAATAAGCATGAAGGAGTGAGATATCCATGTGACAAATGTGAGTACACTGCTACTTCACCAACATATCTTAAAACGCATATACAGAGCACACATGAAGGAGTGAGATATCCATGTGATAAATGTGAGTACACTGCTACTACAGCGAGTAATCTTAAAATACATATCGACAGCAAACATGAAGGAGTGATATATCCTTGTGACAANTACATGTACTGTAGAGGATACATGTACTGTAGAGGATACATGTACTGTAGAGGATACATGTACAGTAGATGATACATGTACTGTAGATCATACATCTATAACAAGAAAAAAAACTTACAAATTCAAAATTTGTGTCTCCTGTCCAATCGATGGTATCTCCTACTACAGCCTGAGCTATCTTGTAGCTCCCCGGCCACAAAATATATAATTGTCGAGTCATTTTTATTAATATGAATGTAGTAAATTTGTGGCCCAATAAATGATTTGATTTGATACTTTAAGAAGTGTAAACTGTAAACAGTCATGTTTCAAAGAAATAACAATGTATCATAAGACCGACATGTTGTGCACGTAAATACGCGCACAAAACACCTCCTGCGCGTGTCTGATTTGAATGATTAAGTGTAAAAATAGTGAATTATTTATCAGTGAAGCATGATAATAAGGGGATAGATCTTTTCCCTTGATTATACCCTATACATATCTGTGTCCACTCAACTAGCACTCATATATCTAAAAACATAACAGAAAACAAAACAAAAATAGTTTTTCTCTAATGTCTAAATCTGCCATGTTTATTTTTATTTTTGCACTTTCATGCATGGTTAAATTTTTGTAGATTGATGTTTTCATCAATCTCATGTTACCGGGGGGTTGTGCAAAAAGTTGAAAAATTGCAGGAGTTCAGGAGTGCAAAATCCGTGAAAGTAAGATTGAGCTCTTTTTAAAAATTTGGAGGGGGGAGTCCAATATTCTAAATATCTTTGTTCTCTTAAAGAAAGGAGATAACAAAAAGAAATAGGTATTGGAGAATAATATAAAAGAGTGAAGGAAAAGGGATTATAACATAAAAGAGGAAAGTACAAGAGATTTTAAGATGAAAAAAGGAGGAAAAAGAAGTAATGGTCAACTCGTAATAAAAGCATGTGCAGTGCATCCCACAAAACATGACAATTTTAGGCAGCCAACTTTAAAATGCTTTGCAGTTGGATTTGTCACAATGAAAACTAATAGTCTTTTTAAATTAAAATGTCAGTTTACTCTTTTTTTAAATAGAAAAGCCGAATCAAGTTCGTGGTTTGGCCGTCTTTTTATTGTATTGCTTAAAGCACCACATAAAGAGTCCCGCTCATTTGAAGTACCGATTTTAGGCGACTAGAGCAAGTTCTGAACAGTAATACTAGCATATAGGCTGGATAACGGGACGGTACACCATATGAATCATCCCCCGGCCAACAGTATTATAGTTGTACTGCACATCTTTATACAGGGTGGGGGACAAATCAGAAAATTTAGGAAGAATGAATCATTAAAAAAAATTAATAAGGCTAATAGAAAATTTTGTTGGCAGAAAATGCTAGATTTTTCGAGTATTATGTGCGTATTTTGGCGTAAGAGATTATTGATAATCTAATATGATATGGGACGCTCTGTATATACTTGACTTGTCTGTCTGTTTGTGTCAAATAAACGTCAAAACGGCTGAATGAACCGATCGGGTCCAAATTTTGTGTGGAACCTCACATGATCCCAGAGGAGGTTTATGGAAGCACCCTGAAAGCCTGGTAATGTTTATAAATCTATTATAAGTTTAATTGTTTAAATGGAACCTTTTTTCCCTGAGAAATATTGAATTTGTATTCAATGAAGCGGAGAAAAGGTTTGAAAAAAAGTCAATGATGCGTGGAAACGGTCTAGAGAACAAAGTTGTGAAGAGGGGAAGGAAAAGGAGCCAAATTATTTTGACAAGATATTTATAATAATGAGAAAATTTCGTTTCAAATTTAGATTTTTCCTTCAGAATCCCAAACAAATCTGAAAGTCAAACTTGTAAGAAATATGTAATGTTTTAGTTTGAGCATTTCGATGGTTTGGAGAATGGAATTTCTTAAATTTCAACTTACCGCCTAAACATATTAAATATCCATGGCTAAATGGCTTTCTATTTTGAGATTATTTCTCTCCAGATTATCTTACAAAATCAAAAATTTATGTTTGCTGCGCTGCTCTCATGATGCACGCTACATGGTTTACATACATTAGCATTTACCAACACCCACATAAACACAAAGTTGAGAATCTATATATATAAAGGGGAAATCTCTGTTTGTTTATATGTCTGGTCATTACTCAGGAACCAACCCCTTAACCGATTTGCCTCAAATTTTGACTTAGAAACTCTGTAGAACCACTGGAATATCATTAGCGTTGGTTAACATGTCTAATTTGACTAGATTGACTCTTGTAAAGAAAAATTTGTTTCAAGGCAAAGCTGGGTTCCCAAGCTAGTATTGTAAAAAGTGCTATTCGCTCCAAAATAAAAGATTTTTTGTCATTTTGTTATTTACCGTTATTTACTTCAAAAATACACTTTGGGCTACCACTAATAGACTGAAAATATGAATGCTAAGGGAAATTCTTATTTTTTCTTTGTTTTTAAATCTTTTTCATTATTGTGGTTGTTTATCAAATACGTCAAAACGGCAGATCCAATGGACCCGTATTTTTTTATTTCAACCCGGGAGGGTTTATGGACGGGCAACATTTTTCTGATTTTTGAAAATCTGTAAATTTTAAAGGAAAATACCGAGATTATTTTTTAATTGGAAGACGGTGAAATAATGGCGGATTTAATTTTGAGAAATGTCAAAAAGAAGAAAATATTCTGGAAAAGAACAAATTTTATATTTTTCCAATTTTCCAATTTAATAATTAGTGTTTGTGGTAACCACGATGTAATTAGTAATTAGTGAATACAGCGTATAATTACAGTTCCCCTGCACAGTGGGATAATGACAGGAATTTATATTTTTACGATTGTTAATCTTCTTTTTTTAAATTTATTATCAACAAAACACAGGTTTCTGGAATTTGAAAGGGTCTGCAAGCGTAATTTGTAGTGACTCTCGGTGCCAAGATGCCATTGACTGATATACTAAGGTACCCTAGATACCTTAATGTAAAAAGTTTTGACGAAATGTTTTAGATATACATATATATATATATAAATATGCGTCAAATAAGACTATTTTTATCTGATGTAAATGAAAACTTTATGGTTGCGTGAATATTGACTGAAAACAGAATATATAAATGAATTTCAAGTATAATAATTCAACATAATTAATAGGTAAAAGATTCATGTCTTCCGGTGTCAACTTGGATGTCCACTTCAAGCTGCTTCATGAGTGTCTGTGTATCACGACAATCTTAAAGGGAGTGTTCGCGTAAAATGAAAGGGGATATGGGCTTAAAGCGAACAAAAACACTTTTGATCGCTACTAATCTTACTTCCATCTGTTGCGTCTATAAGGAGAAAATTGTTAAAAACAACTTCTACTGATAAACGTAGAGTCCATTCAAATTCAGAAAAATGCAATATTTACGACTTGCTTCATAAAATAATCAATTTAATTTCAAAAAAGTCATTCAGATAACAATCTTAAGTCATTGATTATTTTTCAACGCATTCATATATATATATATAGTCAATATTTCGTAATATTTGTTATTTGTTTTAAATACAATGCACTAAAAACGACTTTTTTCCGCTAGGTGTCCCTGCTACGCGTAATTATTCTAAGCATCGAGAGCAGGGATATCTGGTGGCCGGCCAACTTTTTCGGCGTTTAAGTGAAGCATCAAATACAAAACAAATAAAATATAAGTATTAACTATATACGAATGTATTCAAAAATAATTGAAGTCTATAGGTTCTCATGATATCTGAGTGATTTTTTAAATTAAATGTGTTTTTTTTTACAATCAGAGTCGTAATTGCAACTTTCCGACTTTGTATGGTCGCTACGTTCTTCAGTATAAGTCATTTTTAACAATTTTCTCCATATAGACGCCACAGATAGAAGCAAGATAAGTAGCGATTAAAAGCGATTATTTTTCGCCTATACCCCCTTTAATTTTTCGCAAACACTTCCTTTAAGAAAAATAATAAGGAGACCCAGCTTTAAACTCGATATCCACAGTTCTTAAGTTTTCAGCTCATGTCTGTATTGGAATATTTTTGACAAAAAAGTATGAAACAGAAAATATGAAGAATCATACAGCTACATTTATACCAGGACCTTTATATTCCCGTGGTACTAGGGGCGCGCACGCCGTTCTTAAAAGAATTTTAAAAATTCCTTAAAGGACAAATATCAAGTCAAGAAACATGTGACAGTAAACAGTTGAAAAGAAATCTTAGCATGCTTTTCAGCCCCATTTAACGTTGATACTGTAGGGCCCGTAAAATTGTGAAATAGGACGATGATATTAAATATATGTTCTTTTCATTTGATGCTGTTAAAAAGTGGATTCGAATCCAGGAATCCAAAATATATATCAAGAATCCAACGGATGATGTCCCTGATATTATAACTTGATGAATTGAGAAATTGACAAATTTTAAGTTTAATACGTAGTTTAGCGTTACAGTTGGGAAGAAAACAATATATTTTGAACAATAATTTCCCTATCTCTTTCACACGCCCCTCCCTCTCCCTCACGGATCAAACACCTTCCATCTCCCTTCAGAATACCATTTAAATTTTTAAAACCTCATATCTAAAATTCCTTACTAAATTTCGCAAAAAGTTCTAATTTTCTAATTTTCTAATCCACATGTAACAAATGCCTCACTCAAAAAAGTCTTTCTAAGTAATTATAATATTAACACTAAAACCTCTCTGAATATATATCTTCTCTATACCGATCAATTGTAAATCCAACCATCCATAATCAGAGTCTATATCCAACTAACTATATTTAGGTCTAATGGTACAGGTAAAAATAAAACGATATACATATATACAGGATGCAAAGATATAGAGGGAATTATTGTACTAGTTATAAATGTAGGGGGGGGGGGAGTGGTGCAGACTAGGACTGGCGATCCCCTTAATGCACCATAACTCTGTTTTTATGCTCTTGTCTTAAATCTCTCGTCCATCTGGTTTAGTGAAGATAATATTGGTCTTATCACATAACCATCCTTCTTGAATTTTTTTAGTGAAGAACTCTACTTTCAATTCCTTAAAATCCCATTCCAAATCATCAGACCACTCTAATTTTTCTGCTTTCTTCATAGAGTTCATCCAGTTGGTCCAAGCCATGTGCCAGGGAATAAAACCACAATAATATCCTGCTATACTCACATTGCTCTTTTCCAACATTTTTCCACCAATCATTTTCCAAAATTCACTAAATTCCCTGTGTCTGATAAAGCTTAACCATAAATATCACGCTTGAACCACTTATACTTCACAAGAGATGTTTTACGGTCATCCTTTTCTATCTTATTTATACTGTTCATTCTCAGGATTAAATCTTCTTCCCAACTATCACTATCTTTTCTAACTTTCCTTGAGGCCTTAAAGGGCCTGTTAACTCAGGATTAAAGGATTAAAGATTTGAATTATCGGACATGTTTATTAAAATCAGTAAAACTATATCTCACCTAATTACAATC